ATAGTGATACCTCCTCGGAAACCCAAGGAGGGGTTGCTATGAGTTGGGTCCGACTCGATGGCAAATAACAACAACTTGTTTACACATAGGTTGGTGACTAACAGCTTCTCTGTATAGTATGTACATGATTAAGAGTTCCTATAATTTTATTTGGCCTGATTCTTAGACCCTCCATGGAGAATTTCTCTCTTGCACAGGCAAAAGTCTCACTAGTATAAGCACAGAAGAGGTAGGCTCCCGGGAGAGGTCGAACAGAGGAAAAGTATTTCTAAACAAGTGTATTTGCCATTTGAACAACAGTAGATTGTGTCATAAAATGCTACTACTTAGAGGAAAGGCTCTCATAGACATTACAGAATGCCCATTAATGTCATGACTCTCTCTAGATGTAGTCATATAAACATGTTTATAAATGCATATATTTATATATATGTTCAAATATATAATTTTTTAATGGAAAAAGCTCTGCATATTCCAAGTGCTCTTCTAGCCTACAATACTTTTGCTCAAGTACCAGCAGAAATTCAAATGAGGTGTTTGCATTTTTTTCTCCTTCAAATATCCCACAGTTTAAGAAGCTTTAGTATGGCTACAACAGACTGTAAAGAACTGTGTTGTCAGATGCTGTCAAGTCAGTTCCAATTCACAGAGAATGAAGGCTGTAGTTCCACATCTGGATATAGAGTGAAACTCATGAACTCAGCAATCCCTTGGAATGCTGACTCCTCGCCAGCACCCTACAAGGTGCTAGGGGCTCGTGGCTGCACTCTCCCACAGTTGTGTGTTCTGAAGGAAGTTAGGGTCCTTGAGTAGGATCCATTATTTTCACACTGCCATGTCAACAGCCAGTACGGGGTGCACTGTTTTAACAAGAACTACCAGACTGGATTAGCTTCCAACCACCAGATTCTGATTTTAGATGTTTAATTTCGCAACAGTGTAAATCAGGGGGTGGGGGCAGATTTGTTCTACCCATCAAGCTAGTACTCCCGTAACTGTACCTTATCCACTTCCTTATATCTGTGTTTTGATAGTGTACTGAATAGCTTTTCTGGTGTTCCTAATCTGAGATTTTATTTTTTTAAAAAAAATCTTAAACACTAGATTTGGGAATTACTGTTGTTCCTCTAGTCTAGCAGGCATGTTCCCCATGGTACATTTTCTTTAGTTCTTAAGACAAATGGCAGCACTTCAATGCTCTAGTTATAAGCCATCCTCAATCTATTGCTTCACTAGGCATCTGCCTGTCCATCCAACTCGGTAACCTTGATTATGAGTGGCAACAAAGATCATAATTCTCCTGTGAGAGGACCGGGGCCTTATGCAAGAGGGCAGAGTCTACGTGACTAAAACATCCCAACTTCCTCTTTCATAAGTCATCACATGATGGAGTACAATTACAATTCCTGCCTTGTCCCTGCAAATTGCAGGCACATTGCCTCACCCTGGAAGCCCTGCTCCTGCGTATGGAGGAGGTGCTCTAACTGCGGCAGGAGCAGCTTTGGAAGGGATCCAACTCTGCTCTGCACAGGGAGGGAGGGCAGTGGGTGGAAGACAAAAACAAAGCTATGTTTACTTAGCATACATCATAGCTTCAGAGCTACATGAAAGGGCAGGCAGCATGAAAGACTTTTGATACAATATAAGGAATTGCTGCCCTGAACCCAGGGCCAGCCTTAACCGTCTTGATCCCTGATCCTTTTATGGCAGGAGAGCCCAGAATGAAAACAGCCTCTCCATTTTCCTGCAGGCATTTCATTAGGGAAGTTACAACAGCTCCGTTTTGAAATTAAACTGGCAGTGTAAAATAAAAAGGAAATGCTCTTCTTTTGGAAGAGAAAAGCTTTGTTCCACAAAGACCCTTATTTAGTATCTTTCAAGGCTGTATTTGTATTTCAGTATTTCCATTTTGGGACAGTAGCCTCCACCTTGAGGGCATTACAGTGCTGGCTTGCAGGTAAATGAGTGTAATTAGACCATGGTTCTAATGGGGAATTGTTTGTTTTAAATGTTTCAGTCACTGCCTAAGGCAATCTCTTGGGTACCTTGGGATGGCTGATCTCTTTGTAACACAAGGACTGGCTGGCTCATCCTAGCCAGTGGCTAGGATCATGTTGGTCAGTGGGGCTCACTGGGCTAAGTCACATGCTGGTATGAGTGACACAGGGTCTCCAAGGATGACTGGGGGTAAGGGGGTAGATACTGAGGACGTGTGCTAACAACCACAGCCAAGGATGGGACTGACCAAACCCACTCTCACTGGCTGCTTCCAGGAGAGGTCAAGGCAGGCCCCATTTTCCCACCTCAGGAGATAGGATTGCAACTTCAGGACAAAATCCGGAACACAATAGGAAAACCTTTAAGGCATGCCGCATCCTCTCTGGAAATTCCCAAGGGAAAGCTCATTCAGGCTTAGCCTGTAAAAACATACAGCTGTGACATTGTGTTTTCTAACAGGTTTTTTCATGTACTTCTCCCTTCACTGTTTCGGAGGGTGCTTTTCCTATTCTTTGTGGTTAATCCTTTCAAGCAACCTGGCATTTTCAATAGCAACAAAAGATGAGATTTTCTCTTTCCACCTACCAATTCAGTTGTAGGGAAGATAACATAATTAGTATCCTATTCTGCCCACATTTAACCAGCTCATTCCTGTCTAAGGCAGAAAAATAGGCCTGTGTTCCCAACAAAAGCAGCTCCAGTGGCCGCCTAGACAGAGCTGAAGTGTAAAAATTCCAACTGAGTGACTAAGCCTGCGTCTATTAGTCAGCGAGACTAACAACCAGCCAAAGTGATTTACCATAAAATAAACCAGCTCCTTCTCCCAACAAAAGTGTGAAACTCAAGTGTTCAAGTCAGTCTGAGCAGTCTATAGCTACAGACGGTTGCGGAGAGCCACGGTCTCTGCAGAGTCTGGCATCGCAAACTCGTTCCCGCCAGGCTGGTTTGCGCCAAGGGAGGGCGGACACTGGCTTGGCCGCGTGGAGCACAAATCTGCCCATCACAGCACCCTCCGAGCGCCTGCGAACGGCCCGGGCCTGCACGACAGCTAGACGAGCAGCCTGTGAACCAGTCCCCGCCAGTTGCCCCTCCGAGCCGCAGAACCCTTGACAGAGCAAGCAGGCCCTCTGCGGCTACTCGCCCACTCCCCTGAACTAGCTCCTCGAACTACCTGGAGTACAAGTTTAGCGGGGCTGAGCTATGGAGCTGAAGGCCCAGAAATAGCCGGCGGGGGCGGGGCCTGCGCAGTGACGCGAAAGCACTGGCTGTAGAGCGCGCCGTTTCCCCAGTTCCCTGGAATGTGCATTTCGTTTAATGAGACTGCAAGTGCCAATTGCATAGAGTCACGTCCGTGCGGAGCATGCGCATTCGGCTGCGGCTGAGGGCCCGGTCGGCGCCCACGTCACGGCCTCCGCCCGCTCTAACCTACATCTGCAGCGGGCTTCCTCCTCCTCCGCCCTCCTGCCGCCTGACCGCCCGACCGCCCTCCCCGCGCCCCCGCCCCCTCCCCTCCCCCACCACCTCGTCCCCGCCCCCGCCCCCGGCCGGCACCGCCCTCCCCGGGCCGCGGCGTGGCCCTGGATTGCTGGGAAAGTTGTTGGATCCGGAAGCCAGCAGGAAACAACGTAAGGTGGCAAGGAGGAAACTTTGTGCTTGCCCACTCGCTGTTCTGCCGCAGCCAGTCTGGAAAAGACATGCCAATGGGGTTTTTGTTTGCAGTGCGCTTCCTTTCCCTTTCAAAGTGGGCTTATTGAAAGATTCGCGAGCCAACGGAAGGCATTTTAGCAGGGTTGTTTTGAAAACACTCCAGAGTCTTCCGTGTAAGGGAAACTTGAAACGACAGGAGGTGCCTGTTTTTCCCTCAACACAAAGGAAAGCGTAGACATACTTTTAAAATGCGACCCCAGTTTTGTGTTCGCGTGTCTTCCATCGGAATTCGTGTACAGCTCTTAAAGTGTGTGTACCACGCAAATTTAAAATCTCCCCTAAGGGATTATTGACAAAAACCAAGCCAGAAAGTAGCATCGTTTTTGTTTCTAAAATCACTGTTCTGCACGATTTGGCCCAAAAGGACACCAGAAAGGAAAAAAGAAAAAAACCCTGACGAGTCCGCGTGGCCACGCGCGAAACGAGGGGAAGGGGAAGGAAAGTGCAGGAAGAGGAACAACCACACTGATATCACATGCACTCTGGGAGGACTCCGCGGCTCCTCCCGCCGGCTGAGAAGCGCGAGCCGCCTGCTCGCCGGCGCGTCCTCCTGGCCCAAGCTGAGAGCGCCGCGCGGGAGGGCGGGGGCGCGCGCGGGAGGGGGCGCCGCGCGCAGGCGCCGTGCGAAGCTGTCGAAGAATCAAGTCTGTAGAAGTGGAGCGGCCGCGGTGGCAGGAGCAGCAGCGCGACGACGGCGACGGAGCTGCAGCGGACGGGGCGCTGACCAGGCGCTGGCCGAGCTGCAACGGCAGGAGTTGTGAGTGAGCGGCGGAGCGCCTCGGAGCCTGCCCCACGGCCCCACTCCACGCAGACCGGCCGTCGCCGCCCCGGCGCGGCATGCCCCGCCGCTCGGGCTGAGCCTTCTCCGGCGGCCGCACCCCTCCCCCCGCCCCCCCGACCTCCCCGCCCCCCGCCCCGCACTTAGCACCGGACACCGAGATCTGCTGCACTCGCCCGCGCGCGCGCGGCCCGTGTTCGCCCCGGTCTGGAGACCCGCCGCACCGGCCGAGCTCCCGCTGCAGCGCCCGTCGCGTCGCGCCTCTGCCCCGCCGCCTGTTCGCTTCCGCGCAGGCCGGGGGGACCTGCTGCCGCGACTGCACCCGCTCGCCCCGCGGCCCCCACCTCTCGTGCGCCGGGGACGCTGCGCGGGCGCTGAGCCTTCGCGGGCTTTGCGGCCGCCGCCGCCGCTGGTGGGGGACACGCGGGGTTGCGGGGGGAGGAGGGTGCGCGTGGTGCCGGCGGGGGGCGGCGGCGCCTCCTCCTCCTCCTCCTCTTGCGGCGCGGGCTCCTCGGACATGGCCGCGGCGGTGGCGGTCGCGGCCGCATCTCGGCGGCAGTCTTGCTATTTGTGTGATCTGCCCCGTATGCCCTGGGCCATGATTTGGGACTTCAGCGAACCCGTGTGCCGAGGCTGCGTCAACTACGAAGGCGCCGACCGCGTTGAGTTTGTCATCGAGACAGCGCGGCAGCTCAAGCGAGCGCACGGATGCTTCCAGGAGGGCCGCTCTCCGTCTGGCAACACCGCCCCCGCCACCTCCAAGCCGCCGCCGCTCTCGGCCAAGGATATTCTCCTTCAACAGCAGCAGCTCGGCCACGGCGCCCCAGAGGCGACCCCGCGCGCCCCGCAGGCCCTGGAGCGCTATCCGCTGGCGGCCGCCGCCGAGCGTCCCCCGCGCCTCGGTTCCGACTTCGGCGGTAGCCGCCAGGCGGCGGGCCTGGCCCAGCCACCGACCCCACAGCCGCCGCCCGTGAACGGCATTCTGGTGCCTAACGGCTTTTCCAAGCTGGAGGAACCACCGGAGCTGAACCGCCAAAGCCCTAACCCTCGACGCGGCCATGCGGTGCCTCCCACCCTGGTACCGCTTATGAACGGCACAGCCCCGCCACTTCCCGCCGCGCTAAGCCTTAGCAGCCGCGCCGCTGCGGCCTCACTGGCCGCTGTGTCTGGGACTGCCACGGGCCTGGGTCCCGCGCAGTCCGCCGAGCTGGGCGCCCACAAGCGGCCCGCGTCTGTTTCTAGCAGCGCGGCCGTGGAGCACGAGCAGCGAGAGGCGGCGGCCAAGGAGAAGGCGCCACCGCCGGCGCACCGGGGTCCAGCAGACAGCCTGTCCGTTGCAGCTGGGGCCACCGAGCTGGCCGCGGAGGGCTCGGGCAAGGGACGTGGGCCCACCGAACAGGACTGGGTCAACAGACCTAAGACCGTGCGCGACACGCTGCTGGCACTGCACCAGCACGGCCACTCGGGGCCCTTCGAGAGCAAGTTTAAGAAGGAGCCAGCCCTGACTGCAGGCAGGTTGTTAGGTTTCGAGGCCAACGGGGCCAACGGGTCAAAAGCAGGTAGGGGCGGCTGGGGAGGGAGTGGGCCTAGGGGAGAGAGGGAACTCAGCAGAGAAGAGAGTGTTCTTTCCATTCACCACTACCCCAACATCCAGAAATAACAAACGCCCAACTTCCTGGTCTGCTTGATGTGGAACCAGTACTTAGTGGCAACGTGTTCATGTGCTGAAGCAGCATAACAGAGATGAGTCAGACTGGGCTGATAGGCACTGACACAGGGTTTTCCTTTCCCAGCACATTTTTGGATGGGCGCACAAGAGCACCAGGCACCTTTTAACCTATGGGGGAGATGAATAATCATGCACAGTCCAGACTGGGTATTTTCAGGCACGTGTAGTTCACCCAGTGTTAAATGCATTTTGCTTAGAAACAGTTACATGTGGTTTTTAGTGCTTGAGTCTTTTTTTAAATTTATATGTTGTCAGATCCTCATAGGGATAAGTGTTTTGAGTTGCATGTGAACTTGAAATTCATGAATTTTAAGATACATGCTTTTAGGAAATGAGAATTCCTTAAGGAGTTTTGCTTAATGTTGGTAAAGGAAAGATTCTTCTCAGTGCATGTACATTGATTACTTTTTTCTTTTTTAATTTCTTTGTTTTTCTAGTTGCAAGAACAGCAAGGAAGAGAAAGCCATCTCCAGAACCAGAAGGTGAAGTTGGGCCCCCCAAGATCAATGGAGAGGGCCAACCATGGCTTTCCACATCAACAGAAGGGCTCAAGATCCCCATGACTCCCACATCCTCTTTTGTGTCTCCACCCCCACCTACTGCCTCACCTCATTCCAACCGGACCACACCGCCTGAAGCGGCCCAGAATGGCCAGTCTCCAATGGCAGCCCTGATCTTAGTAGCAGACAATGCAGGGGGCAGTCATGCCTCAAAAGAAGCCAACCAGGTTCACTCCACTACCAGGAGGAATAGCAGCAGTCCACCCTCTCCATCCTCCATGAACCAAAGAAGGTTGGGTCCCAGAGATGTGGGGGGTCAGGGGGCTGGCAGCACGGGAGGACTTGAGCCAGTGCATCCTGCCAGCCTTCCGGACTCCTCTCTGGCAGCCAGTGCCCCCCTGTGTTGCACCCTCTGCCACGAGCGGCTGGAGGACACCCACTTTGTGCAGTGCCCTTCTGTCCCTTCGCACAAGTTCTGCTTCCCTTGCTCCAGACAAAGCATCAAACAGCAGGGAGCTAGTGGAGAGGTCTATTGTCCCAGTGGGGAAAAATGCCCCCTTGTGGGCTCCAATGTCCCCTGGGCTTTTATGCAGGGGGAAATTGCAACCATCCTTGCTGGAGATGTGAAAGTGAAGAAAGAGAGAGACTCGTGACTTTCCAGTTTCAGAAAAACCCAATGATTACCCTTAACTAAAACTGCTTGAATTGTATATATGTTTCCAGATATATATATATATATATACACACACACACACACACACACATATATATATATATAATATATATATATATATATATATCTCCAGGACAAGGGAAATGTAGACTTCATAAACATGGCTGTATAGTTTTGATTTTTTTTTGAATACATTATTATTTTTTTTTTTTTTTGACGACGAAAGGTATGTACTTATACAGGCATTTTCTTCTTTTGTTAATGTTATTAGCATATCTGTGCTTTATTCTGGTGACAGTTACTGTTCAATGTAGGCTGTGACTTGCGCTGCTTTTTTAGAGCACTTGGCAAATCAGAAATGCTTTTAGCTGTATTTGTATGCACTTATTTTAAAAAGAAAAAAAAGCCAAATACATTTTCTGACATTGTAAGATTGCCTTATTGTCTGTTATTCCTCACTGCTGGCCCTTTTCTCAGGCTGGAGGCCAACTGGTGGAATAGGAAAGGAAATGAGTGAAGGGGAATTGTTATGAAGTGTGCTTACCGCTGGGAAACATCACCAGGTTGACCCCAAACCATTGTTCTCAGAGTAATAGGAAAGTAGATTTCAAATTTCTTTTGTTCTTGAAGTTCAGTTTTTGAAATATTGGTGACTGAGAGGTGCTGCTGAGAGATTTTTCAGGATTCTGCGGGCTTTTGGGGGGGTTATATGGTTTTTTGGTTTTTTTTTAAAGGCAAAGTTGACCACTGTTCACTATCCATGTGATCAGTTGTAAGATTACAATGCCGCATGTTGGTTGGTTACATAATACACAGTTTCAGTGATGGAAGGTGGTTATAATGGATGGCGGTGTGTACAGCATGGCACTGCCATCTTTGAATAGTCTGGCTCTGCAGCACCACTTCATTTTTTAAAATGCCCTAGCTACAGCTTTGTTGTTGCTGTCTGTGTTCCTTTGAAAAAACTCACAAGAGAAGTGCAGTGAGCCTGGAGATTGTGGGATTGGTTTTGTTTCTGTTTTGTGTTTTGTTTATCATTTACCTGTAGTGCTATTGCTGTTGATACTATCACCTGCACCCTGTTTCTAGTGAGTGTTAAATACAGTGTGGTACAATGACAGTAACAGCTGGGAGGCACTGCCAGGACTGCCTGTGGGCATATCAGTGACAGCCCAAATGTGGGTGGAGGAAACCTGTAATTTCCATCTTACATGTGTTTGAAATAGCAAGTGAATAATGCTGTTCTTCTGGAAAAAAATGATAAACTAGTGAAAATTAAAGAAATTAAAAGTTTTACTTAATAGGCCCCACCTCTTAAACGATTTTTAGAAGCCTTTTGTAAACTAATATTTCCTGATCGCTATTTTGCATCCATAAAATTGATTTTTTATAAACCAATAAATCATCAGTTATTAGAAATAGTTGTCTCACAGTGATACTGGTTTTTCTTTTGTGCTGTGACGATTTAACATTGACACGAACACTATTTTAAATCCTTATGTTCAGATGTTTGTAATTTGGCCATATAATTAGACTGAATCAGAGTTTCAAGTTCTATAATTTATGTGTATTCATAACCTAGCATCTATTTTAACATGGAAATATAAATGGCTACCAGTTTTGGATTTTTTTTTATGTTTTTGTCATTTTTAAATTGCTCAAAATGCTTTCTTATGGTCAAGTTATTAACTCTTGAAATTCAGATACCAAACCAAATATAGTGTTTTTTTCGTAATGTTTTTAATGAGTGCACTTATTAATGCTCTGCAAATACATGTTACCGGTCATTGTTATATTACAAACAGACTTGCATGATTAACCAGTTTGTCATCATATTTAGTTGGAGTATATATGTATAACTCAGATCAGACTGGTCTCTCTTATGTAAATGCACACATGCAGAAACAGAATCAATTCTAAATGCCCATAAAGACATTTGTAAAGAAGTCAACTATTATGATCTGTTGTATTAATGTGTATCTGGGCACTTTATTAAATACTGGAATTTGACTTCATATATGTTACAAGTTGATCAGTTATTTGACCTAATTTGTTTTAGCTATCTGTACATTCTTAATACAGATAAGCTTTCCAGAAAAGATTAGTAAAGAACCATTCAGCTGTTTTGGGTAACTATCCAGCTGTGGAAAAGACAACCTGAGATTTCTCTGTGCTGGTATTCAAGAAGAAAGATATGACTAGCTTAAAGGGCCATGTATTGAGATTACTTCTCTTAAAAAATAAGATCTGCACAAGCTTTCCTGGCCCTTGGGTGGCCTGCCTGGAACACTTGCACCTGGAAGATATTGATGTGAGTTGTTTTTATGACAATTCTTTAGGGAGTTAAAAAGTTAACATCATTGAGACATGGGTTTGCTCTTGTGTTGTACCGATGACAAGGCAGAGATTGTCCACAGCTGGATAAAAACGTCAGAGAGCTACTTACTGTACATGGGCAGTATCAGATTTCAAATCCTAATATTTCAGCTGTGCTTTTAATACTCAGAATATTAGGAGATGGGGTGTTAAAGCCTTTTCCTTTTTTTGCTTTAACAATTTATGGAATTTAACAGATGTATTGTCTTTTATGTGGCCTCACATTAAAAGTTATAGAACGTACACATGGTTTACAACTTTTACTATATACTTTTCCTTGGCCGCCAAATATTTTAAAAGTGTGCCATCTTTTAACCTTTACTTTTTTTAAGTTGAAGGTGATACTTTTTCTATATATGATAATACTCATGTCAGCTGAAATGAGGGTAATCTCAGATACCAACATTATTATATTCTAAAATCACTATGGAAATACCACCTGCATCTTTTATGAGATTTACAGTTGCTCCCCCCACCCCTTAGCATTAAATAAAAATAAAATTGGGAGCACCGAACATCATCTCAGGACTTTTTTAATTTTTGAAAGTAAGGGTAGAATGGGTGTTCTTTTAATCACTAATGGCAATTTGATTTTGGGTTTGGGTGTAGATTTTACTAGAGTTAAAAAATAGGAGATAAAAGATAGGAAACAAGAAGGTTGGTAAGAAAAAAAGTGCCAGGGATTGGGGAAAAGGCAAGTGGATAGGGGATAGATAAAGAGAAGAGCTGAACAAAGTGCAACCAGAAAGGAGTTATTTTTCAAATTGTATTTAAAGCAAATCATTCTGCAACAATAGAAGGAAAGAAGAAGATAGTGACAACATTGAAAGGACTGTCAAGACAGAACTGCTCTCTGGAAAGCTTTGGAATAAAACAGCTATGTTGCACCATGGGAAAAGCCCTGAAGACCAAAGAAAAGCCTATGCTTGGGAAAGCTTTGGAATCCATGAGTGCCAAAGCCATGTGTGAACTTAATTGGTGTCTTAAAATCTAAATTTATAAATAGAGATAAAACTGGAAAGCTCTGAGATATGTTTTTAAACTGCTATCTAATGTCATGCAAGAAATTTCCTAGATGTTTGCAGTTTATTGATGAATGTCTTGGCAAAATTCTCCATGAAAGGAAGTTGGGAAACTTACAAAGAATTTGAGGATAGCATACACATAGACTTCCTAAATGTTTTTAATAGTATTGATTAATGTATACTTGAATATTATTTCATTAAGGGTGGGATTATTAACAGAAGTTTGATCTAATCAGCTTAAAATAGGTAAAACTATTAGTTTTTTAACTTAAAAACGCTAAATTTTGTTTTAGTGAAATTTAGGACGGCTAGCAGAAATCATTTTTAAAATTTCAAAAGCTACTCCTAAACATGAATTTTAATGATTGCCTTTAGTTTCCAGACTCTTGATGTGACAGATAACTTTGTTTATTCCGCAAAGGGAGGTGGGAAAGTTAAAGGGAAAATACGCAACTCCTTTAGTTTCTAGACTAAGTCCTTCAACACACAAAGATGTTTTGCATATATTTTATTTGGTTAGTGGAGAGTAAAATGTTTCTCTTCCTGATTCCTAAGTGTATATGTGGAATCATTCAGAAAAATACAGAGTCATGTGTAGGCCACTACCAGTCCTAAGTCACCCTCATTTGCTTGCCTTTTTGTTAATAGGGAGCAGTGTAAGAACCACCTTTATTCTGTCACAGACCAAAGTCAGCCTGTACCAATGATTGGAATGCATTCTTACCCATTTCATCATCTGGAGTTCTAGAAGTGAAGAGGGGATGTTTAACTCCTTCAGTGCCACTGGCTAAACTGCTGGCAGCAGTAGTATTACAATCAAAAATGATGGTGTAACTTCTCATATTGTCAACTGTCTAGATTCCTTGTTTCAATTGACAGCCTGCATTTTCCTCAGTTATTAACCCCTCTAATTTAAAAGGTACAAAAATACACAAGTTAATTTGTAAAAACTCATTAGCAGTTGGATGATGGAAAATGACTGGATTTATGGATTATCAGTGGATTCCTCTATTAATCCACAGGTAATTTATACCTAATTTAACACTGACCTTTGTTTTTCATCAGACTGTTTTTTTTTTTTTTTTATATTGCTGCTCCCTCATGTCAATTTAACTTAACAGTGCTTAACTTAAATAGTTGTCCTTTGTTTCATTAATTTTTGAAGTATAATATTTTTTATAGGAGCTCTGGTGGCATAGTGCCTAAGGCATATGACTGCTAACCAGAAGGCTTAGTGGTTCAAACCCACCAGTCACTCCTTGGAGGGAAGGTTGGGCAATCTACTAACATTGTGATGTTGTTGTTATGTGCCGTCGAGTCGGACCTGATTTACAGCGACCCCTCCTTGGGTTTCCGAGGCAATATCACTACGGAAGTAGATTGCCCCATCTTCCTTCCGAGGAGTGGCTGGTGGTGATATCACCTCGGAAATCCAAGGAGTGGTCATTATGAGTGGGATCTGACTCGATGGCAGTGAGTTTGTTTTTTTTTTGGTGGGGGAAACATTTTTTAAAAGGTTCTAGAATATGGACTCTATTTGCACTGGTTTTTATCACAATATTCTGTACCTCTGCCTGGC